TATACGGCCACTTTTCTCCTTGACAATGGGTGGCCGTCTTACACAGGTTTTACTGTAAATTATGTGTATGTAAGTTATTATTTTTAATCACATACGGTGCCGAAGGGGGAACTGCTGTTTTTTCTTTCCTAATCCTTACTATCGTCATTTTTCCCTTTACTTCTTTTGTATGTTTGTCACACTCTTGTGACCCGCTATTTCTGGGGTGCCTTGAGAGTCGAAGCAGACCTTGTGCTGTTGAAGCTAGAGAGGTGAGCAGAGTAAGTGTGATTCCCTGTAAAGACTTCTCAGTTAACACCCACCCCTTGGCGCTCATATGACTTTATGCAGTTGTGAGCACCGTAAAACCCTAGGCCTACTAAAATATTACTATTATTATTATCAATATGTTACCCGTAATGAGAAATATTTTGAAAATGGGAACATTACAAAGATGGTTTCCCTTTTTCTTAAGACTCTTCGTGGGTGGTTGGCGGGTGCTCATGTGTGGTTTGCTCCTTCTTTCTTATCAAACATCTAATCTATCGTCTTTATCACCCCTCCTTCTTTTTTGTGTTTGTTACTCTCTTGTAACACCTCTAACCTTCTGGCGCTCATATGACCTTCTGCAGTTGCGAGTGCCTTAAAACTCTTACTAAAACTAAACTAAAGACTCTTCTTTATTCTATGCGTTATTTGTTGCTCCAGGAGTGGTCAAACCCCAGTCCCACGAGACCCTCCAGAAACAGCTGGGGGATCTGCAAGCCGTGGTGTGCTCCTACCTGAAGGCCGAGGAGGAAGTGATGGAGCGGAGAATTCGCAAGTTTGAGGCAGAGCAGAGGGCGCAGTTCGACAAGCTGACGGATCACGTCAAATCGGAGAAGACCAAGCTTGTCAGGTGAGTTCTTTGATTGATGACTACACGGATGCAATATCACTATCCTGCGTTTATAGTGCAGAAACTGGTTAGTATATTTGGTTGCTTTTAAGGTCAAACGGGCTGACACACATTTCGTGGGTTTCAAGAAATCTTGACTGACATCAAAAGTGGGCATTGCCCTGCCTATAGTAGAAGTTTGGTTTCATTGATGTGTATATTTGTTTGGTTATAGAGAAAACTCTCCTGTTATTTTAAAGAAACTGAACAAGGGGCAAAAACTTTACCTTCGATTTTCTCAAAATAGCTTTTTTTCGGGATAGCCCCCTTTTGCTTAAAAGCGACCATTTGTGGATAGAAAAACTTGTTTAAGATAAGGTCAAGGTTACTTTTGGACTTGTCATTTTGGCATGGGGTTTCTGTGGGAAGACGTATTATAATGGAAGTGTTGTTAGTGCTTTTTTTATTTTGTGAATGATCATTTTTTTCTTCTTTTGATGTTATATATATGATGTTATATAAAATTTCCTGGTCTTGGGCTTTTTTTCAGTGTCTTGTTTCAAAACTCCGAAAGAAGGGACTTTTCAGCTATGGCAGACAAAAATCCTTCAAAAGGACATGGTTTGTATTTTAAAAAATTGTTTTATCCTGTGCTTGATTTTGATATGTCTTTGAAGGACCTAAGTATTGACCTGATTAGGTTGTTTCCCCAACTAGTTATGTAAAGAAAGGAATCCTCAAAGGCCTGTGGGTGGGTGGTTGGCAGGTGCTCTGATGTTATTTGCTCCTTCTTTCCCATCAAACATTTGTTGACCTTATCTCCCCTTCTTCTGTTTTGTTTGTTACTCTCTAGTAATACTTCTAATCTTAGGCACCTATGTGACCTATCTGTGTTGCTAGTGCTTTAAACTAGAACTGAACTAAATTGTAACCCCCCCCCCCCCCCCCCCCCTGGACGATGCTACTGACTAAAGTGTCTTTAGGCCATTTCCAAAGTGGGGGACATTAACATGTTCTCATGCACAGTAGAATTGTAAATGGGCTGATTCATCAATGTCATCCTCATAACCGTGCCTGAACTGCAACAGGGAACTGCTGCTTTTTCTTTCCTAATCCTTACTATCGTCATTTTTCCCTTTATTTCTTTTGTATGTTTGTCACACTCTTGTGACCCGCTATTTCCGGGGTGCCTGTTGAAGCTAGAGAGGTGAGCAGTCTAAGTCTGATTCCCTGTAAAGACTTCTCTGTTAACATCCACCCCTTGGGGTTCATTTGACCTTATGCAGTTGCAAGTGCCGTAAAACCTCTACTTAAAACAAAAAGGTAAATTGTCTTTGCCGACATGTGTTCCCTTTTATCAGACACTCACAAGTTTTCAACAGTGACAGTCTCAAGAGAAAGCACATTTCTGATGCTATTCTCATGTATATTTTCTTTTTCTGGCAGCAAATCTGAGTCATTCCAAGAGTGCAATAGAATACAACAGAACTACGCCACAGAATCTCAACCAGTCCTCTCGAGAGCGGAACACCAGAAGAATGAGAGACTCTAGTCCTGATGGTGAGTGCGTTGGAATCGGAAGAAACTCTTCCTAGAAATTTTATATGAAAACATTTCAAGTTAATTTTCTATTATCGATTGGAAAAAGATAATCATTTCGATTAATTTCAATAATTTTAATGAAATACACTTTTTAACGTATAGAATATATAATATGTATGTATATCTTATTACATTTTGATTGTCTGAAAGTTGGGAAATATTTTTCTTGAACAGGTTTTTGTTAATCTTCTGACATACCTTTTAATTGCTAATAACCTGAAACCATGCAAGGGAACTAATAATAGTTTATGCTGTGGATGGTTGGAGCTCTTCTGTCCTATCAAACATCTACCAGGGGGTGGTTGGCGGGTGCTCTGGTGTGGTTTGCTTCTTCTTTTCTGTCAACGATTTATCGCCTTTATCTCCCCTCCTTCTTTTTTGTGTTTGTTACTCTCTTGTAACACCTCTAATCATCGGCACTTATATGACCTTATTGTGTTGCAATTGCTGTAAAACACTTACTAAAGCTATAAAACATCTACCATCATCTCTCCCCATTTTCTTTGTCTGTTACTCTCTAGTAATACCTCTAATCTTCAGCACTTATATCACCATATTGTGTTGCGATTGCTGTAAAACTTGTACTAAAAATAATCCAAGTAAGCAAAACTTTATTTCGCCTTTTTTTCCCCTCCAGTTTTTGCCATGGAAGAGCTTGAGCTTGAGGACCATGATGGTGATGATGTTGGTGTTCCTATTCGCTCTGGTGAGATATTTTCTTATATACAGTCGAACCTGTGTAGGACGGCCACCCATTGTCAAGGTGAAAAGTGGCCGTATAAGACAGGTGGCCGTCTTAGGCAGGACTGATCAAGATGAAGAAAACAAACCATTCCTTTCTGAGGTCCCAACCGAAAGTCGCCGCATTGTTGTTGTTGATATTGTTGTTGTTGTTGTTTTTAACTGGGGGGGTTCTTTTGTTGCTGATTTTGGGCTAGGGTGACAAATAAACAAAATGGACCGAGTGCTATGGTAAAACAAACACAGGGGTCACCGCCACTCAGAGAACGAGCGACGCTTCTGTCACAAGTTCATGTTGACGTCCTTTGTTACTTTGTTACAGACTGGGTAAACACTGACCACTCATCTCACTTACGATGAGTGTATGAGTTCTGGGCGGGGCTTATAGGTTATGAGGGATCACACGCTTACCTCAATGGCAGCTGAAAATTTGTTACCTATTGATCAACAGTGGGAGGGGCCTACGCAACATGATCGGTTGGAGGGACTACCTAACAACGACGACAGGTGATTGGATTATGATGGCTCGCCCACAACGCCAGGGGGCCAATGCACAATTTATGACAAAATGTAATGGAGTCACTAAGGTGGCTGTCTAAGACAGGTGTGATAGGGCTTGTGTGTTAAAATATGGTGGTCGCGGCCGCGTTGGACAGGTGCCCGTTTTACACAGTTAAATTATATAGAAAAAACGCAAGGGGGGAAATGGAAAGTTACCGGCTTATAGAGGTGGCCGTCAGGGCAGGTTCGACTGTATATGTGAAGCGTGCTGACAAAATAAGTTACCTCTCACAGTCCACAAATGTAGATATTGGCAAAAAATCGACAGTAAGGTCAAATTAGTAGATTTTCTATTGATGTCATATTCTTTAAGTATAACATGCTTTTTATTATTTCGTACTTATAAATTGTGTGGCTAAAACAGCACCTGGATATGGATGGCAGGTGCCTCTATAAATAAATCATTGATGGTCTGGACTTATAAATTGTAAAATCTTCACCTATAAGCGTGATGTAGTGATTTCCATAGGGCTCGAATCTGAGAAGTTACTCATTTAGTCAGCACCCTTCACATATGGTCACTTTTAAGCACAAGGGGGCTATCCCGCAAAACGCTGTTTTGACAAAATCGAAAATAAAGTTTTTGGATCCTTGTTCAGTTTCTTTAAAAGACAAGGAGAGTTTTCTCTATAACCAAACAAATATACACGCAAGTGAAACCAAACTTCTCCTATAGGTAGGGCAATGCTCACTTTTGGTGTAGGACGAGATTTCTGGAACCCCCGAAATCTGGGTCAGCCCGCTTGTCCTTAAAAGCGACCATATATACACAGTTGAGTCCATGTAAACCAAAATCTGTGGGACGGCCAGATTTTTCTTATGTTCAGCTGAGATTTCAGTTTGGAGAGGTTGCTTCAATAGAAGAAAAAACCCCAGGGGTTTTCTTTTCTTTCAGTTTACGACTATTTTCCAATGAACCGAGTGGAGTTTAAGCAGACTCCACTGTATATTTGTAAAAATAAAAAGAGTTTAAAATTTTCATATTGCTCATCTACATGTATTTTCAAGCAGGGCTTTAGAGTGGGTAGTTGGCGGGTGCTCTGTTGTGGTTTGCTCCTTTTCCCCCCATCAAACACCTATCGTCCTTATCTCTCCTCCTTCTTGGTGTACCTTACTCTCTTGTAAACATCTATTCTTTTGCACTTATATGACCTTATTGTGTTGCAAGTGTTGTAAAACTCTTACTAAAACTTACTAAATGGCTTTAGGTGTCCTAGTGGTTAGGCTCTCGGACTCGCAAGGTCGTGGGTTCGAATCCCGCCAGGGGCCTGACGTTGTGTCCTTGGGAAAGGCACTTTACATGAATTTTCCTCACTTCACCCAGGTGGGAATGGGTACCCGGTTATAGGCAACGAAAGATCTTGTCAGTTTGTTAGTGTTTGAGCGCTTAATCAGCTGCTTGCTCCGTATGCTTCCCAGGAAGCTGAGAATGTTTCGTAGTGTTGTATGGTCTGCTGGGGTAATAATATAGTGTAAGGCGCAGAGAGCCTGCTGTTGAGTGGGGATATGCGCTATACAAATGCTATTTATTTATTATTATTAGATAATACTTATGACTACCCAGGTGATCACCACCGCCGACCAAAATTACCAAATGGCCTGCTGGTGAGCACTAGGTTAGAGTATATCATTGTCAATATGCTCCTTACTCTTTCCAATACTGTGATCCTTTGGTGTGGGTGGTTGGCGGGTGCTTTGGTGTGATTTGCTCCTTCTTTCCTATAAAAAATCACTAGTCTTTATTTCCCCTCCTTCTTTTTTGTGTTTGTTACTCCCACCCTTGTAACACCTCTAATCTTCGGCACTTATATGACCTTATTGTGTTGCAAGTGCCGTAAAACACTTACTAAAACTAAAAACATCCTTTGATGTGCAACCAAGTCTGTTTTAAGTGTCATTCATTCTGTATCCGCTTGACAGAAAACTCTCGCCGGTCTGAGCGGTCGGACTACAGCGCTAGCCCCGAGCAATATGGCCGCCAGCGATCAACCCACGTGAGTGTCCCCGAAGAGACAATCAACGAGATGGATGATGGGACGCTCATGTCCACGTCTGTACCCATCTCTATGCCCACCGGACACTTTAGAAATCTCAAGAGCCACACTTTCAGAGAAGACGACTTGGAGGTAAGTCTTGTGTGCTGTCACTGTGGTTTGTTCTGATCAGCTTGACCTTTGTACATATCATTACACTCCTACCTCATTGTAGATACTCTATCCAAAAGTCTCGAGAGGGTGGTTAGTGGGTGCTCTGGTGTGGTTTGCTGCTTCTTTCCTATCAAACATCTATCATCCTTATCTCCCCTTCTTCTTTTTTATGTTTGTTACTCTCTTGTAACACCTCTAATCTTCTGGCGCTCTTATGACCTTATTGTGTTGCAGGTGCCGTTAAACTCTTACTAAAAACTAAACTAATAACTCCTACTCCAATGTGGATACTCTTTCCAAAAGTCTCGAGTGGCTTGGTTTGAATATTTGTTTATTGAGGCAAAGGCCTGTCGTGACGTGGAAAGTGTTGAGATGTTTAGTCGGCTTAATGTAGTGAATGAATGAGTTTGTGTTGCATGTAGGCTGCTGGATTTTGTCTTTGTCCCATTGTCTGTTTGATAAACCATCTGTGAGAAACTTTTTTTTTTTTTAAAATAAATTTTAGTCGTAGAACTGTATGACCGCTCCTTTTCCCACTTGCTTCTAACTCTCTCACCTTGTACTGTGTTGTTTAACCCTATCCGAACGCAGTGTTTTACTACCATATCCATATGACGTGTGGAACTCTGTGCCACCACTTTCCAAAGAGGAAATGTACTTGTTAATCTGATCCGTACGCTTTGCATAGCAGTCTGTCAAAATGATTTTTTGAGAAATACTGGAAGTTTCAAAGAGATCTTCGCACAAGAAGTATTCGAAAATGTGAAGAATACAACCCCATGGGTGCAAAATGACCTCAAGCGTACGGATAGGGTTAAATAAGCATTTAAGTGTTTCTGATCGAGTTTTTGGCTGTCACAAAAATTTTTAAATGTCCTAACACTGAGCCACTCTTTCCTCTAACAAGTTTCACCATGTTGTGTGTTGTTCCAAAGGGGGGACATTAACATGTTCTTATGCACAGTAGAGTTGTAAATTATAAATGGGCTGATTCATCAGTGTCATGCTTATAACTGTGTCTGAACTGCTGCTTTATCTTTCTTAATCCTTACTATCGTCATTTTCCCTCTACTTCTTTTGTATGTTTGCCACACTCTTGTGACCCGCTATTTCTGGGGTGCCTTGATAGTTGAAGCTATAGAAGTGAGCAGAGTAAGCCCGATTCCCTGTAAGGACTTCTCTGTTGACATCCGCCCCTTGGCGCTCATATGACGGGTATGCAGCTCCGAGCGCCATAAAACCTCTACTAAAAAACAAACTGTGTTGTTCCAATCTTTCAGGAAGAAACAGCTGAGTTCGATGATATCCCTCGCCACATGCAGCAACTCTCGGAGAGCATTCAGGAGCGGGATCGCTATATCTTTGGTGACCGACCACGACAGAGGGTACACACAGGGGACTTTACGCAAGTCAAGTGGAAATAGATTCCCGAAGTAGATACGCTTGCAGCAATTTTTATTGACTTTTACCGAGAAATTGTGTGTGTGTGTGTGTGGTTTTTATGTCTGATGCTCTGACAGAGAACAAGAGTGTTCGGTTCGGAAGGCTGTTTCTGATATGCATTCATGTGTACTGGGCAAGTGAGTGAGAGGAAGGGAGTGCATGCAGCAAGAATGTTGAACTTTGACCTCTGAAACCTTTCCCGTCCTTTCCATTCAATGCCTCTCTCTCTCTCTCTCTCTTAGTCAAGAGGTTAATTTTTGGTAATGTTGCTTTTATGAAGAGGATAACAGATTTAATAGAATGTTATTATTCTTAAGGGGGG